CAGCCCTGTTGGGCCCCATCTGTGGTGGTCTGATGGCTCTAACACGACGCGCCGTATGCTCGGGCCTGGTTCTAGTAGGGTGGCGAGTCACCTGTGCTCGCCGTCCGCAGACCCGTGCTTACGGTTATCGTCGGAGATCGCCTCGCGATCCCTGACGTCCAGGGTGTCTAAGGAACCACAGTGATGAACAATGTTTTCGAATAAGAAGATATGCACTCAAATCGATTAACTTTTAGAAGACTTACGGTATCACACACAGATAGACATAACTACAAACAGACAGACCGGTCAAAATTATGTCGCCCCTCTTTTGGTATGGGCTTAATAGATACAAACGCACGAATTAAACACTGTAAAGTTTGATCAGTCTATTTCCATCCTAAGCCCCCCAATTAGCGTTGAAAACAACAAAATATTTGCTGCACAGAGTTATTATCGTTTATTACCTCCAATGAAGAAAACAAATACCTATCCAGGTTGATGAACCTCACCCAATTATGATAAACAAAACTTACGTGGAGACAACGCGATAACTTCTTAAATGTAATCTGTTTGACGGACAGGCTCAACAACCTCTACCTGTCAGTCGGTAGACTCGGTAGATTAAGCAACTAAAGATAGAATTGAATAAGATAATAATGCAAGACAAATTAAATAATAATTAAACGACAACGCATGTTAATCCCATAGTAATTGGAGCCACAGGAGTAGTAGCCAAAAACCTCAGTAGATACACAGATAAACTAGGATCATCAATAGACATTACAGTTCTACAGAAGCAAGCCGCCATTCACAGAACAATAATTCTTAGTAAAGTACTAGAAGGTACAGTTTTCTTCACAATCATTCTAGATTCCGATCAGTTACAACCATCCCAAGAGGACACACCACATACCACTCAATCAACCATCACACAAAGCCCAAAATCCACAACTGGCATACAATCTACATCAGAATAACACGCAAACATTATCAGTAGCCAAGTAATCAGCAGACAAGGAAGAAGAAGATTTAGATTTAGAAGGGGGCAATGGGCATCGGTTTTCCTGCGAGAATCCCGTGCTGCCTGTCAATCCCGAGTAGGAGAGACCTCTACATGAGATATACAACAACAATCTGTGAAAGTCCATCGCTAGTGGACTATCGGCCTCCTCTATATACTATGGTTTGCCATAATATTCATACTTAATACGGATCGCAATTTACAAGCTTCAGCCATACTCTGATCTAAATCAAGGTACCGAAACTCAAGTAAGATTCATTATTTATTTTTATAGCTCATAAGTCCACTGCTGGGTAAAGGCCTATTCTCACATGGAGAAAGAATGACTATTAATCACCACGATAGCTCAAGGACGATTGGCGATTCTTTGTACTACTTAAATATTTTTTTCAGTTACAAATTGTATTATATTAGAATCTCTTACAGAAACTAGTATTATTTTAGACTTTGCACAGAAAGTATTAGATAGTATAAATACTAGTATGAAGTTTGTACTCGATCGAAGTGCGAAGTCTATCGCAAATAACTTCGCAGATAACTCGAAGTTCAAGGGTTGTAGGAAATATTATAGTAGTGTATTATGGCCATGTTTTTGCTAGAAAAATGAAGGATAGGAAAAGACAAGTTTTTATTTTTTTTTTCTGTTTTGTTCATTTTTCGTCAAGTGGCTTCTCAGCGTTATACTTCATTTCGATATCTGTTTGGTAACATACATATATTTATTTACCACTTCAATTTTAAAAACTCTCAAAAATTCATAAATAATAAAACTCATTTTTTAATATTCAAACAGGGAAGAGTGAAATGGGCAAGGTTTTAATAAAAAAAATAATCTTATGTAGATACCTACATATAGCTATTTTTTTTTGGAACTACACTCAAGCATTGCTTTCTGAGCTGAACTTACAAAAATTACATGATTATTTACTTAGTACTTAAGAACGATCAAGTCATTACCAAAATAAACTGAAATAAACGAACTTTTCTTCCCAAGAACAATTATATTAAAGTTTCTAGCGAAATGTTTAGCATTAGCAGATCTTGACGGTCAGTGATCACCCTTTTTCCTATTATCTATGAAAATATCTACCAGTGACTGTGTTCTTGTTTAAACAGAACAATTTGAACTTCTAATAAGTTCACGATTTCATCATTTCCTACTTGACTTTGCAGAAAAATATTTATAGTTTGAAACTAAATATATATTTTTATCTCATCGTCCGATGTTGAATTTTAAAACTATAATAAGGAACTATGTATTATTCTTTTGACAACAATGTAATATGTAGGTATTTTAATATAGATACGCAATAGAATAGTTTACAATTTTCTACTCCATACGTAGTACATGTCATGCATGCGTCATTTTGTACATATAGCAACACTTTGTAGTATCTGTAACATACTACAAATATAAAAACATGATATCGCGCCTGTTATCCATGAAGTTGAAATATTTTCTGAGCGTGTAATAAATAAACGACAAACCGTTCAAATAAGGTTCTAAAGGAATAGGTATCAACTAAACTCCTATATAACAACGTTTTGTAGTATGTCTAGGCTGCCTCGTTGGCCGAGTGATCGCAAGTGCGTGCGACTGCCGGGTCCTCTTGTCTCGGGTTCGATTCCCGGGAGGGGCAAACTATTATCGGGACTTTTAAAAATTCTCAGCATTAGCACGGAGTCTAGACTTGTGCCCGGTGTATGGCAATAGGTTCACCCCTATTACATGGGACTTATAACACAAATAGTGAAATGTGGGTGTTACATTGTAGGAACAGTGGCATTAAGTGCCGTAATGTGCACCTCTGCTTACCCCTTCGGGAATAAACGCTTGATGGTATGGACTGCCTCGTTGGCCGAGTGGTCGCAAGTGCGACTGCCGGGCAAGGGGTCTCGGGTTGGATTTCCGGGTCGGGCAAAGTATTATTGGGTTTTTAAAAAAAACTCAGCATTAGCACGGAGTCTGGACTTGTGCCCAGTGCATGGCAATAGGTTCACCCCTATTACATTGGACTTATAACACAAATAGTGAAATGTGGGTGTTACATTGTAGGAATCAGAATCAGAATCAGAATCAGGAACAGTGGCATTAAGTGCCGTAATGTGCACCTCTGCTTACCCTGTGATGGTATGATACTACGTGATGGTATGTAATGTTATCACCGGTTTCACAGTTTAATCATAATACATTACTGGTAATGCCACGCTTCTAACGTGAGTAGCTACAAAATATAATTCTTTGCAACGTTGGGTTGACTATTTTCTACACGTACGTAGGCACGCGGCGTACGGAGCGTCGCTGTTAAATACTTCGTAAAATATTTCTCGTTAAGACAAGAAACTACACAAGCGCCATCTATCTACCACCATAGGAACAATCAAAGAAGCAATTCTTTAACAAAATAATCTTTATTTAATTTCAACACAAAAACATTATAGTACATACATTCAAAAATATACAAAAATCGTGACAAAGGTAACTTCGAAAATAAATCATTTATTTAAACATATTATGTATTTATATTTGCTAACTCTCATTGTAATATTGTACATTAAATTGCATTGTGACTATAACAAAAAGGAATGTTTTTTTAAAAACGTATTTTAAAATAATTGCAATAAGGTTGCTAATGGCTTAACTAAATAATTAATAATGGAACTCCTTATATTTAGAAAATTTGCTATTTTTTATTAAACAAACACCCTGTATTGTAATTATTTCGTCCTCCCTCGATGTTAGTTTCAGTCTGAATTAGCTACTATTGGATTTATGACTGTTCACCAACCACCCCTAAACCACCTTTTAACTAAGAATTACTCATCGTTACATAGGACCTAAATTAACCCCTTACATTTAATTTTAGGTGTCATATAAAGGTTGGCATAGACAAAAATATCGTTAAAAATCACCAATCTTAACTTAGGGGCTTCTTAATATTTAGAAGAGGTTGGTGAGTAAAGGCACTAATTTTGTTAGATTTATTTTGTAATTAAAAAAACATATTTTTTTAATTATGTAGTTATGTCGATTGTAGGCCTATTAATAAAGAAAAAAATGTAAATATAAATTATAAGAACGGATCAATAATACATTTAATATTGCTTACTGATATAGTGACGTCATACTTTTTGATTATCTAACATGGAATGTTGTGTAATTAAGGTGTGTACGTATTTAAATCATTTTTGCGTAAAAAAATGCACGAGACGCCTATTAAAATGCAATATGCAATCTTTGGATTCTAGAGTATCTACTTTAGGAAAGTATCTAAATGGTAATTTTATCAGGCGTTTCGTTGTCCCACGTTTTAATAATATGATCATGTTTAAAACCTCGAAGTTTGTTAGAATAGCAATTCTATGCCAAATAAATCCTACTTGCTACAATAAATAAAAAAATATATAATTAGGCACCTTTAAGTGTTTAATATGCTTTCATTTGACTTCATTTTTATTATTTTATTTTCATGTTAAATGGACGGAATCCTGGTGGACCAGTCAATGAATTTAAAAAAAAATCACGTTCATTTAAATATTTTCTTAAAAAATCTGATTGTTTATAAAAACATTATCTAATTAAACAAAACGAAACCTTCTAATACTGACATTATTTATAATTTCATCAAATTCATTCAATTCAAACCAAATTGATTTATCAAAAACCAAGATTTTGTTAAGTGTTTTAGTATTACTATTACCGTCAAGCATATATAATAAATTAATTTCAATATTATATTATACATAGCGCTGCTCCTCCGTACCGGATACCTTGCTCATGTATTAAGAGCCAAGGTTTAAGTTGAAACCAGTCGAGCTTTTCTCAAATCTCGAATAGTGAGTGAATAATGTCCAAATACTCAAACGTTACTCAATTTTAAGCAGCGCTTAATTATAGTTCTGTCATTGTTAATTCTTTGTAAAATGACAGAGATGGCACGTTATTTAAGTACAAGTGAGTTAACTTAAAATTTAGTAGCTTTTCAGTATTCGCGCGTAAGACAGTTTATTTTAAATATATATATTTTAATGATTACTAAGGCGTATTGTCCACGACGCGTCATTTGACGAATACATGCAAGTTACAAATGACGTTAGGCAGATTTATATGAAGAGTGATGCAAAGTTGCGCTTCGTGCCGACAGCTATCATTGTTTCTAAGCAAGATGAGAGCATTTGTCATTTGTAGGTTGCATTCATTCGTCAATTGACGCGTCATGAAAAATAAGCTCAAAGTTATCTGTTATCACTTTATGTCGTGTACTTAATAGTTCTAATTGTAAGGGTCGTCCGACATCGTTGATGGTCATCGTGTTGATCCAATTGAAGACAGGACGGCTCTTGGTACTGTCAATGTACTCGTTGGTAGCGGGGGCTCCTCCCAAGCTACTGGGAGACCGTACTTCTTCGGTTTTAGTACGTAAATAAACTGGAAAATGAATAGAAATGTGTTAGTTAGTAAAATGTTGACGGTTGAAATAAGATTTGCCATGTTTGTTAAGTCGTTTTTATATTTGAGGGGCCGACGTTTGGCCACTATCTCGCCTGGTGGTAAGCGATGATGCGTCGTACAATGGCGCACGTCTGCCCATAAGCATCCTATTCCCTCTTGCCTTGAAGACACCCGGGATGTACCCTTCAGGAAACACATACTCTGACAACGAAGTTCCTTATTTGAATAATAGTTTTAAAACTAACTATGAAAAAAAATACTGTCACTTCCCACGACTATGATTTCGAAACAAAATACAGACATGAAATTAAAAATTAGACTACGTACTAACAAGGCAAATTACAAATTCAATCAATTATCGTCAAGGTAATAGTTTTTATCGACCAAAAGCCCTTCAATTACCCATGTAATAGGGGGTGAGAAGATGAGTCCCATGACTCATAACATTAATAGTGAAAAGTGTATGTTACATTGTACAGTGGCATTAAGTGCCTTAACATGCACCTCTGCCTACCCCGTCGGGGCTAAATGGCGTGATGTTATGTGTATAACTACTTACCACAAGAGAAGCAAACGTAGCTCCAATAAGGAACCCGGCAGCGACATCGCTCCAGTGGTGCATGTTGTCCTGGACTCGAGACAAGCCCACAAACCAAGCACTAATCAGCACTGCATACTGTATAGCGTGACGTAACAGCTTCGATCCACGCCACTTGCCCTTCTCTTGGATGTAGAACTGGAAAAAATGAGTGAACTTGAGTATTAACACGTTGAGTGCTTCATAGGTATGGCGGTCATTGGTAGATGTCGGATTTGCTTTCAAAGCGTTTCTGTCGGCAGTCAAAGATTTAAGAACTCCTTCTTTTCAACTGAAGTCACCAAAAGCAGGTGCTTCTGAAGACCGTACTTTGTCTAAAACTTTTAGAAAAGCGTACATTTTCTAACTTAAAAGCATACACGTCACACCTAGACCAGTGACTTGAACTGCAACACTTCGCCAAACTCGGAGTTCACAGTCAACATTTAACATTCGTGTGAAGCCTTTTTGTTGAAGATGAAGTCTAGCTATGGCAACCGTTTATTATCAGGCAACTAATAACTGATTGTTACTGACTTGTAGTAATAAAACATTGATAATACTCACAATGAAGAACACAGCGCAATACATGGAGAAACTAGCGTGTGAGCTGGGAAAGGATAGTCTGGCTTCTTGAATCTTGGCTGTGTCGGACCCTCCACATGTATAGTCATTGATATACCCCAGAATGTTCGCTGAGGAGTTTGCTATAGGGAACGGCATGCAAACCTGCGGATGAAATTGACAATCTTATACGATATTTGTGATGTACAATGCTTTACTGTATGTGACTAAAATTGGTAGAATAGGTCATCTACTATTATAAGAAACACAAATTACAGAATTTTTGGATCCGAACAGTGGTAAATATATGTTCACATTTTGAGACCTGAGTGATTGTATTACTTATGGAAAAATGATTAATTATTATCATTATATCAACACAGCTAAGTATAGGCTTTCTCCAATGACTTGCATCTAGAATCCAGCTGGTTCGAATTGAAGTAAATCACGATCAATGAACTGCTACTATGACTACTCACTTCATAGAAATGTGGCCTTAGTCTACCAATGACGTATTTGGCGAAGTCTGACGTAAGTTGCTGGCAGGATGCTCCGAAGGCGAAGACACCAATACTTCGGTAGCTCTCCCAGACCCAGCCGGGCATCACAGATCCGGATAAGAACCTCTCACCCGCACCCTTCCCTTTTTTGTCTCGAACTATTTCCACTAGGAGTATCTGAAACAGTTGGAAGAATTTGTGATTAAAATACAGTAATGTCAAATTCCCTATCAGACGACATCACCCATGGGCCAGACAGTACACCAGTTATGTTTAAAATTCCATATAAGGGTGTGAGACTACTGCTGCAGATCGGGCACAATTCCAAATTCAGGGTCTTGCATTCTTTTTAATAGGACAGTGTTTGCTCACTAATTCGCCTAGTGGTAAACGGTGATGTGGCTGACGATGGACCCCGCCTACTTATAAACAACCTCCTCATTAGAGACTTAAAGACATTTGGAAACACAGACTCTTGCAAGAAATTCCACTGCTAATCATCTACAATAACCGAAAAAGTCAAATTATACTTTGAACGATGTGGACATAGGACCTGATACCCCTTGTTCGGTAGTCCCGCTTACATTATACATGATCAAAGTCGTTGTCTTGAATAAAGTTGAATTTGAAAATTTGAAGACAACTGTTTGAACTTCAAGAAAAGTGACTAATTTAAGAGATTAAGATTAAGAAGAAGATCATTATCTAAGTAAATATTTGTCAAAATGTATGTATATTTCCTATTATATCTGTCTGTAGACTAGGTTAATGATCCTTTCTTTGTCTTTCTTTAGTGTTTGTTTAGGATAATGACATTCTTAATAACTGTGTTCTGAATTAACTTTATTGCGCTTAATCTTGTTTAGTGTCTTGGATTAACCTTAATACCAGCTTTCATTATGTATTTATTGTATTTTTCAACAGTTACAGTAGAATGTTTTGGAGTATAAGTGGAGAATGGGACCGTCGGTAGAGGGCGCCCTAGACGTACATATACTGATCAGATTGGCAATATACTAAAGAAGGGCAATATTAAAAGTACCCTTAATCGACGAGCATGCTTAAAAAGATTGATGATTGTTGATGAAGCGATAGAGCGGTATGTAGGAATCGTAGCAATTGGCGTTCAATAGTCTTTGCCTACCCTCATGGGAGATAGGCGTAAAGTTATGTATGTACGTATGCATAGATAGAGAATTAGTTAATTGTAGATTTATATATAGTCCTTTGTCTAACCTATAGTCACTTTGTCTACATAAGTCGTTTAAATAAACATGCTAACATTTTGTTAGTCAAAACTGACTGAGACTGACAGGTATGTTATCAACGGCCGATGTCTAAAGTAAAACCCGTTTGTTTAATCACTGCAGATTTAAAACTTTATTTAAAAAAGGAACGTTGTTATCAAAGTGTACAAGTTTAGTTCTCCTATCGTAGACTAGATGTCGCCAGATATCACAATTTGATACAATTATCATTTAGGTATATTGTTGCCTACTTTTTCAGTCGAAATTAGGCTACATCGTAATACAAATAATACATTTTAAAAAACGTTACTTACCGTACAAACCATGAAAGCGAATCCTGCCCCTGCTAGAGCGCTAACGGATACAAGCTGGTCCTTGTAAGGCAGTCGTATCGACATGTCATTCAAGTCGTACCCTCGATGGTATGGCGTCGCCCATAGTGCCAGCCCCAGGATCGGGAATGCGACTGGAAATTAGAAATTACAGGGTTTATTACAATGAGAAATTACAGGTTTATTAAAATGATCCTGAATTTAAGTCCTTGACAGGTTGTTGAAGGCATATCCTTCACGTTCCACAATCCCCATGGCCATGGCGTTTAGCGTGGATATGGTAGTGTTAATATGAATGGATGAGAAGGTAAGAAGACTACTAAATAATAGATGAATGGATTATTGTATTGATCATGATAAAATGAGTAAAATGCTAGATACTGAATTTAAATATGAATGTATGGGAGGGAAGAGGGTGATCAAATATTAAATGGATGACAGAGATAAAAACTTGGTGCTCATTTTTTTACTGAAATTTGTGCTGAAGATAAATACCAGTTGTTTGGTAACAACACAACGCCATTTACCCCGAAGAGGTAGGCAGAGGTGCACATTATGGCACTTAATGCCACTGTACAATGTAACACCAACTTTTCTAATTTATGTTATGAGTACCATGTAATAGGGGGTGAGTTTATTGCCATATACCGGATAGCCATATACAATTCCAGACAGAATGATTTTAAACCCAGTAATACTTTGCCCGACCCGGAAATCGAACCCGAGACGCCTTGCCCGGCAGTCGCACTTGCGACCACTTGGCTAACGAGGCAGGACAGTTGTCTTGACCTTTCGAAAAGAGTTGACTGACCTTAAGAAGTTGTCAATAAAATTAAGCATTCGTCATCCTTAATTTGTCATCTGTCTGTGACTGAATATATATTCAGACTTATTACCACGATAATATTTTCGTACGATATGGATAAAGAAAAATGTAGGACATTCGAGCATTCTATATTAAATTCGATCGAGATTACAACTTTCTTATCTGAATCCTATTTAGATTTTGTTTTCATGACGTCATAAAACTCCGGGTATAGCTTTAAATAAGGGGGGGGGGGAGTTGCATTTTAATTGCACTCCGATTTACGTGTATATATGTAGGTTTTATAAAAATTCTCAATAGTAGCGGAAAATGTGCCCGGTATACGGTAATAGTACATGGAACTATTTAGCATTAATAATGAAAAGTGTGTGTTAAATAAATTGTAGGTACAGTGGCATTAAGTGCCGTAATGTGCACCTCTGCCTACCCCTTCGGTCCTTATGTTTAACATAACATCACACCTTTTATCCCTAAAGTAAACATAGTTTAATGTGGCAATTTAATAATGATATGGCCGTGTTGTGACTAGACTTGGTCTCTGTTTGTTGCTGCAAGATGTTACAGCACTATTAATAATCAAAGTCAAAGTCAAAGTCAAAATCATTTATTTCAATTAGGCCAGAATGGCACTTTTGAACGTCAAAAAAATATTAAAAGTGAAGCTATTTGCTCATTCCAAGGTGTAGATTCCTATGGAGAAGAACGAGCAAGAAACTCCATAGGTTACTCTTTTTCAATCAGGTTCACAATACAATTTACTAGTTACATAGTTTTGCTGTTTGGATTGTGCGAGAACAATGTAACACGAAAATCCAGCCAAAGTGATAAAAAAACAGGAAATACCCTTAAGGACAATAATACAGTCTGGAGCTGACCAGTCCCAGTTGACGGCGCCCGTTCACGAACATGACACGTACACCAGCACCGCCCAACTCAACCATATTGTAGGGAATCGAGCGATCATTTTAACTGTGGTTGCCCAATCGTGGCAAGCCCCTCTAAGTGGCGGTGGCCACTATAGTCCAGCAGGGAACAGCCATGGGCTGTTGTTGATGGACATTGCGACTGCAATAAAACGAACCAAGTAGTTCGCTTGCTATCGGTATGCAGTTGGCATTGTAGTTCCAAATAAGACTGAACGCTGATTACAAAACTGCCACTGCCATTCTGATGAAGCTGCTATAATTTATACATTAGCTTCTTATACATAAAGTATATTTTTGTTTGTTTCACTAATTGTGTTGCTCATTGGCGCATTCATAAAGGTAGTACTGATGTTGTTAACTTGTTAGTTGTACATATGTAGTCGATGGATAGGTGCAATTAATATGGCCGTGTTATAACAATGTTAATTATAAGTTTTTATATTAAGTGACAACATTATCACATGGGGTGTAACCTGTTAGGATGTGTTGATTTAAATGTATAAATAAATATAAAAATAATTTTCGCGTTTAGTTTTACATAGAATGTTTTTATTTGTAACTGTCAAACACCAAGCGGTCACCGGTGACCGCAACCTATTGTTCTATAATTGTGTCTACAAAACCGGTACTCGACGAGTTAATAGTTTTAGTCCTTAAGACTTTCACTGCTAATAAAAACTGTTGAAGGTAAGTACTCCGCTAACGCCGGTCACCGGTGACCCCCATGGCGTTTAACGTGTTAATTTATTTTATTTTCTGGCATTTGTTAAATAGGTTTAAGTTATGATGGAACTGGCGTGAACTGTGTTCAAACGTTCCCAAAAAAAAAAGAATAAAAAAGAAACTGCCACGTCAAAGTTCAGTGAATACTATTATCTCAGAATTGACGAAGCCGTTGGTAGAAACTAGCATCATTTTATAGTTATTTATTCGAATTTAATGAAGCGGGCACATGCGACGGTAAAACGTTTTATAAATCACTAGCAAACCCGGCGAACTCCGTTTCGCCACCAGATGGCTTCGTTCGTAACATTTCGTTTGGTGATTTAAAGATGAAAAAAATTTTTTGTTTTATATTCTACTAGCGACCCGCCCCGGCTTCGCACAGGTGCAATATGTATATACATACAAACCTTCCTTAAGAATCACTCTATCTAAAAAAAAACCGCATCAAAATCCGTTGCGTAGTTTTAAAGATCTAAGCATACACACGGACATACAGCGAAAGCGACTTTGTTTTATACTATGTATTGATATAGGTATGTACTCGAAAGTGTTATCGATATCACTGTAACATTTGCGTCCGTTTCCAATCATTAGAAACACACATGAATAATACAATTTTCCTATCTTGCATCGAGTTTGTAATTAATCTAGAACTCTTATCAGTGAGTTAGGTTATCATTTAGTTATCTATAAAATGTATTGTTGAGTACTTTTTTGTTTATCGAGGTAGACCGACTAAGTATAGACATTCAAGTGTTAGTTCGAGGACAACTCTCCTATTTCAAGTGAGCTTGATCGCATTCTCGCCCGTGATTGGTCGAGATTATTCTTACGACCAATGACATGGCAGAACTCGACCGAGTTCACTTTGATCTTTCGAATTGAAAATTACAGAATGGCCTAGCTGCTTCTAAATTATTTGAAATTACGGTTATGCTCGACGAGTTTCAAGCCACATCGGCGCTCATACTCATAGGATGCGTGCCCTCGAAATTAGTCTAGCATCATCGAATAGTTTACGTAAGTCGTATATTTTGATTTGTTAGAAACTGTAATTATTCGTTCACGTACAAATTGACTGTAGTTTATAGTTGTACTTTGTTGTATAATGTTATTGTAGTTAGAAGACCGCTTGCAGATCGCTCACGCAGGACGCAGCGAGTATTATAAGTCGGTTAACATCATAATGTGCACAGATTTTGTGCTGCTAGTAAAATTTTTAAAAGGAATCTAATTTCATTATACCAGACACAGTCACTTTTTCGACTATAAAATACATAACATAACATCTTGTCTTTTAATCCCCGAAGGGATAGGCAGAGGTACACATTACGACACTTAATACCACTGTATAATACGAAACCCACATTTCACTATTTATGTTATGATTACCATGTAGTAGGGGGAGACCCTATTGCCATATACTGGGCACAAGTTCAGATTTCATCCTAATATCGGTATTAGACTAAATAAGCTCTAGCTTTTTTTAAAAAAAACCAATAATACTTTGCCCGACCCGGGAATCGAACCCGAGACCTCTTGCCCGGCAGTTGCAGTTACAACCACTCGAGCAACGAAACAGTCTACAATACACTAGGCATTACAACAGTTGTCGCGGAGAACCTAACGGGTAACCGGGGCTCCGGCTCGACGTGCAGGAGAAGGAACGGAGTGGTTTTTAGTCAGTAAGAGTCTGACACTCCCTTATGCCTCACCCAGGCGGGAGCAGTCATTCGATGATTTTTCCCCCCTTAAAAAAAAAAAAAAGGCATTACAACAGTGGAGGCACAACCTGTAACTCCACTGTTGAGACTGCAGCAGGGCTCTCTGATAAATCTGAACCTTTTAATATGCCTCTCTCTTTTAAAATCTCCAACTTGCATATACAGTATGGATGTTAGGACCAAGTCCTCTTATGCTATGGACACTCTCAGTGTACTGTCAGGGTTTGTTGATATGTTGTTTCAGTGTAACATTAAAAGTGAGTGTTATATGTGCTTTGACTTCGAATTCCAAAACTTGAACTCAAAAGCAGAATAGCGATTTTAGAATAATCTGGGTGACAACAGAACCGATAAAATATTTAAGTACATACTAATTTCTATAATTACCATTTTATGTAACATTTTTGTGGGCTTACGGCATTATTGACTTATCTCACATGTATCAGTTTTACGTAGATAAAGAACACATTATTTTATTTAAATATGTACAGTCTACCAATCATAGCTTGGCGAAATACAAATTGGAATTAGTGTTTTCCGTTCCTACTTCCTACTTCTGAAAAAGATAAAATTACAATTAGCTAAAATACATCCTAATTACCTACTGCTTCGGTTCGATTCGGGCAAAGTGTTACTGGGTTTTTTATAAATTCTCAGTAGTTGCACGGAGTCTAGAATTGTGCCCGGTATATGGCAATAGGCTCACCCCCTATTACATGGGACTCATAAATTAAATAGTGAAAATTGGGTGTTACATTGTACAGTGGCATAATGTATATCTCTACCTACCCCTTCGGGGATAAAAGGCGTGTTGTTATATTATGTTACATTTTATTAATATTATTTATATACTAAAGTGTTAAACAAAAATTGCACCGTAATTTTTTGCGTTGCGAATTCGCATCGCATCGCATCACAGTTTTGTGTACGAG